TTTTTTTTCTGCCTTTTCTTTCTCTTCCTTTTCTTTCTTTCTTTTCTTCTTCTTCTTCATTGAACACAGGAGAAGAGTAGAGGAAGAAGAGAGGAGAAGAGAAAGAGGAGAAGAGAGGGAGAAAGAGAGAGGAGGAGAGGAGATCGTCGCAGTACCACCGCCGTCACCTCGCCACCGCCGACCGTCGAGCACCACCGCCGTCGCCTCCGCCTCCTTCTCCCCCTGTGATTATGTCCCCTCCAGTCCTCCTCATCCTCCTCCCTCTCCTTCCTCCTTCTCTTCTTCTTTTTCTTCCTTCTTCTTCTCCGAATTCGAGCCAAATTCGAGCCTCCAAATTCGAGCTACCTATCGGAACCGGTTTAGTAAAAATACAGAAACTGCCCATGGACCCAGCATGTCCTATCAAACGTTTCAGGTTAACATCATTAACATAATTTATTTATTTTTTACCAATCTACCCTTATTTTAAAATAAATGTGGCGTTTGGTAACACTTACGTTTTCAATTTTTAATTTATATTTACAAAAATTTTAAAAATTATTATAAAAACTTGTTTGGTAAATATTTTAGTTTATAAACCAGTGGTCTCAGTTTATAAGTTTGGCCAAAATTTGTAAACTCAAAAAATGAGTTTACGTTTTCAGTTTTTTTTTTTGACCACCCACCACTCGCCACCACCTGTCACTATTTTCCATCACCGTCTTCTGCCACCACCACCCACCACCACCCTCTATCACCGTCTTCCGCCGCCACCACCATCTTCCACCACTACCACTCGTTACCACCTTCTTCCGCTGTCACCACCCGCCACCACTTTCCACCACCGTCTTCCGTTGCCATCACTCGCCACCACTTTCCACCATCGTCACCACCCGTCATCTGCCACCACTTTCCACCACCGTCTTCCGCCAGCACCACCCACCACCCGCCACCTGCTACCATCTGCCACCATCTGCCACCTTCTACCACCACTTTCTACCACCGTCTTCCGCTGCCACCACTTGCTTCCACTTTTCACCATTGTCTTCTGCCACTACTACTATGCATTGAAGTAGCCCTATAGTTGACAATATTAATCATTAGAATTTTCGGAACAAAAAAAATTAAGCCTCAATAATAAAAAAAAAGCTTAATTATACTTTTGGTCCCAAGTATGCTTTGTTTGTGTTATTTGGGCTCCCTAATTTTTTCCGTTGCCACTCACCTGCCACTACCGTTTTCCGCTGCCACCATCCGCCACCACTCGTCACCACCTACCACCCACCACGCCACCACTCGCCATTTCTCACTCTTTTAGTTTATATTTTTTAAAATTTTCAAACATTTTGTTCAAACCAAACGCGTTTGTAGTTTATGTTTTTCTAAAAATAAACAAAAATCAGTTTACAAAATTTTTGTAAACATAAACTAAAAATGTAAACGTTACCAAATGCTGTTGGTCTTGTGTTTATATTTTAGTGATAGACATGGCTAAGAAGTAACAGAACGTCGCAAAATGAGTGTTGGACCTCCTTCCTCCTTCTCTTCTTCTTTTTCTTCCTTCTTCTTATTCTTTTCTTCTTCTTCTCCGAATTCGAGCCAAATTCGAGCCTCCAAATTCGAGCTACCTATCGGAACCGGTTTAGTAAAAATACAGAAACCGCCCATGGACCCAGCATGTCCTATCAAACGTGTCAGGTTAACATCATTAACATAATTTATTTATTTTTTACCAATCTACCCTTATTTTAAATTATACTAAAGATTTAATAAAATTACAAAGGCCTATCCACCCAAAGTATTCAGATAATTACCTTTCTAAAAATGTAAGTCATCCTATTAAGTCACTATTGTTAACGTCACTATTGTTAACGAAAAACCTACTTTGTTAATGGAAGGAAAAGTTTGAAATCGACAACCAAGGCAAATAAGAGGTGAATGTTATTTCAAAAACTTTAAGGAGGTCTTTGTAATTTTGTTAAATCTTAAGTAAATATCATTTTACTTTCTTCAGTTCTTAGCAAATATCACTTCACTTACCTCATCTATGAACTCATATTTTTACTCTCCTCAACTATTAGCGAAAATCATGTCATTCCTCTAATTACGAACACATATATTTTAACTCCATCAATTATAAAAATATATCATTTTTACCTATGTAGACCCCTTCCAGATTCTCTCCAAAAATGGGTGTATTTGTATAATTTTTTATAATTGAATAGGTTAATATATAAGGATTCATAAATGAGAGAGACAAAGTAATATTCGTTAATAGTTAGGGGGTTTTAGTGTAATTAACCTTCTAATTTAAATTATTTATTTATTTTAGAGGATTGTACTCTCGATGATGGTCCCAAGTTGACTAGGAACTGTATTAGAGAAAGAGAGAGAGACCCATGTGCATTATATTAGCATATTTTATTCTCAATTTCTTATTAGAAAATTCTTTTGAGTGCAACTTCCATTGTCCTTCCCTGTGAATGTGATTGGTAGTTATTTTATATGTTTAGATAGGCATTGAGTAAATATATATTCCCCACAAGGCTCATTTTTTATTTTATTGGGCTATTTTTATCTTCTTTTTTTTAATGTTTTTTATTTCTAACAAAAAGTCACCAACTAAGTTGGGATGATTGTTTAATACAGATCGGTGGCCTTTAGTTGGGACAACCCAATTGGTGCGAAATGGTAAGACTTTGTTTAGTGATCTTTCAATTAGGACACCAAATTAAGTTTACATATAAGGGAGCAGTTTTACTAATACTGTATTTGGTTAGGAGATTTGAGAAGAAATTTGGAAAAAAAAAGGAAAAAGGTGTGTGAAATTATATAAAATATAAGCACGCTTTATTCACATTTCACCTATCTTTTCCATTTTCCTTTCCAAATCCCTCTCCAAATCTTCCAACCAAACACAACATAAATAAATATGACATTAATATATAAGAAATAGTTTCATAGCGTGAAAGAAAAAAATAAAATAAAATAGATAAAAAATAATCAAGCTTGACTTCTAAGTTGAGATTGTGTAATTTTGCTATAGTTGCTCAACTCATAGGTTATATTTGAATTATGAATTTAGGTAAAAATTTAAAAAATAAAATAAAAAATGTGAGTAAAATGAGAATAAAATATAAATTAATCTTTTTTTATTTTATTTTCTCTTTATAAATTTATGATTTAAACACAACGATAAAATCCTCCATATATGAGTTTAGACCAACTTTTTGAAGAGTGAGAGGTTACGACCCTTCCAAAGTTTGTTAGACATACTGTGTTGTAAGTAAGAATAGGTATAATTTTTTATTTTTTATTTTTTCAAAAGATGAGTAGGGCATATTTTGATACAAGTTGCTTGTTTTAGACCATCTCCAACGCTTCACCAAATCTTGCATCAGATTTGAAATTTGGTGAAAAAGTCACTTTTTGCAGCTCCAATGGTTTCATCAAATTGGTATCAAAACGAGAATTCACCAAATTTTTCATCAAAGTGAGAACAAGGTGAAGATTTCAGCAATTTACCGTGCGTGACCGTTGGGGGAGACCAACCGGTCAACCAGCCAGTTGACCGGCCGTTTGACCAACCGGTCGACCGGTTCTCTTGCTAATAGGTTGGTTCAAACAGGTCAAAAGGTTCAAAGAGGTAAAAAAAAAAAAATACACTAACCGGTCAATTCCTACTTTGATGACAATCATTAGAATCCGATTAAGAAAATGATTTTTTTTTTTATTCAGATTTAATGAAAAATTTAATGAACCGCTGAAGATGCTTTATGCCCTTCTTAGCATTGAAATCAGCATATCAAAATTATGAAACCCTTGACAATGAAAAGGTATGAAAAAAATATGTCAAAATTGGAATCAATAACACGGAAGAAAAAAGTGATGGAATCATTTTTCATGTGATGGTGGTGGTTATTTAACTACGATCACTTACTTTTTTTTTTTAGCATCTCATGAAGCTATTGGTGTCTAATCTTATTATACAAAGATAGTCAACTCATTCGAAAATTTAAACTGTGTTGAAAATAGTGAACCAAAAGCAACAAAAAAAAAAGAAAAAGAAAAAGAAAAAGAAAAAGAAAAAGAAAAGAAGATAGTTTTAAAACTATATTTATTGTTTTTTTTATACAAATAAAATAAATTAAATGTCACAATTATACCCTTGACAATGAAAAGGTATGAAAAAAATATGTCAAAATTGGAATCAATAACACGGAAGAAAAAAGTGATGGAATCATTTTTCATGTGATGGTGGTGGTTATTTAACTACGATCACTTACTTTTTTTTTTTTTAAGCATCTCATGAAGCTATTGGTGTCTAATCTTATTATATAAAGATACTCAACTCATTCGAAAATTTAAACTGTGTTGAAAATAGTGAACCAAAAGCAACAAGAAAAAGAAAAAGAAAAAGAAAAAGAAAAGAAGATAGTTTTAAAACTATATTTATTGTTTTTTTTATACAAATAAAATAAATTAAATGTCACAATTATCGATTTTTTTTTTTGGATAGATAATATATGAAGGACTCTACAAAATAAATGATTGAATTATTAAAAAAGAAACCTATAACGAATCCCATGAATTTGAATAGTACTTTTCAATCCAGATTATAGATAGGAGAGAATCCAACTCCATAAGAAAAAGATTTATTTTTTTATTTTTATTTTTTGATGTTTTCTTACGTAAAAGTGAATAGGAAAAGAGAAGAATATGCATGTACTTGCACCGTCTGATATAATATTTTTTTTATGCATATGCATATGCATTGCATGTGGTATGGTTTGTTTTAGACATTTATTGACTATGACTTGTTAATATCGAAGTGTTGAGAAATTTTGTCAGTTTTATCAAATTTTAATTTTTTTTTGAAGAGTTTAAACTACACAAGGTGTTAACTAATTGGTTGAAAATAAAAACAAATGAAAATTAAAAAGTTAAACGTCAAATAACCTATGTTAGAAATTTATGAAATTTCAAAATAAAGGATTAGCCTAGTGAGTAAGATGCACCAATGGTAAAAGGAAAAACACATGCACATTAAAACTTATGAAATTCCATGTGATCATACAATTCATAGATCAACAACAATGGCAATCAACAACAATGGCAACTGAAGAAAGACTCATTTTACTCTATCAAGTACACAACATGAAAGAAGAGTACCTCAGGAAACTGACTATTGATAACAACAACCAGAAAGAATTATAATGTTCGCTCGGTATTTACTCGGAATGGAGCTTTATACTGGAGCAACAGCTGAATCAACGACAAGCGGTTCACTGATTTCGAGTAGTTCGTTGCAGAGACCAGTGAAAAGAATGGAATCTGTTTCAATAGGTCTGAACTTGACAAGAGCTGCAGGTACCAAATCCTCCTCTTCGAGTGTTATGGCTCTCTCCCCTGCTGCAGGAAAATGTGGGATCACCCGCCGTCGAATGGCTACAGGATGCAATAGCTCAAACTCCAAACTAGGTTCTTTCAGTGCTGAGCTCACGAACTGAAGGTAAAGGGCAGAACATAATTATAAAATTACCCAAAAATAAATGCATGCACATGAATGGACGGAATGAAGCTAATGCAGAAATTTTCTATACTAAATTAAGAGATGATCAAGTTAATAATCTGTCAGCAGAACTTGAAAATGGGATCATCAAAAATATGTAAAAAGTGGGAAAATAATAAAACCATGGATTGTGCATGGGATATGCTAGATGCTTGTTAAAAAGAGCCAAAAGAGATATTTGATCATGCGTAATTATTTAGTAGTCCTGTAGAAGCATGTGGCATTGCTTACTTGGTGCTCCAAACTAATCACATACGGAAAATTTTACAGGTGAGTCTCACCTCTTCAAGGTTACGCAGTTAGGAGATAAGGGAATGACCTACTTAGTGTGTTTGTTACAGTTTGTTATTGGCTGGAAGTATTACATAGTCAATGCCACGTAATAATTTTCCTTAAATCACAATTAACTTCAAATACTCAAGGAGTATATGTATTGTACCCTATAACAAAAAGTAAATCAAAGCAAGCCAAGCAAAACAAGAGTTTTAGGTATTGGATTTGCAAGAAATAATGACAACTTTAAGATTAGAGAACTGATCAGGCAAGAAAGCTAAACTAATGCAGAACTAAGAACTCAACATCCCAAGGAAGAATAACGTCATGTTTATGAGAGAAACAAATGTTATAATTAAGTAAACTCCATACAAAGGAGGGTCAACGTATGGCCTGTTAACTATTTTGATTACTACACAAAAGAAGAGTGTCCATCCCATGGCTCCAGGCATGGAACAACATAAATCAGATACCAAGGAAACTTCTTTGCAGACCTGCTTCCCTATTATAACGGGTACCAGATATCCACAATTCTCGGATTTTCCTATGAATCAAATCGTGAATCATAAAATTCTAACAACCATGGCCACAACTACAATCCATATCCAATAAATTCATAAATTAACGAAATACCCCCAACTCAGAGAACCTGATAGAACATAAATAAAATTAAAGCAAGTAATTGACTATCCAACCAAGCCTCTGCAAATATAATATCTCCCAAACTTCTTTTACGCTGTGTTTGGTTGGGGGATTTGGAAAAGGAAAGGGAAAAAGTGTGTGAAACTAAATAAAGTGTAGGTATATTTTATTCATATTTCACCTACCTTTTCCCTTTCCCTTTTTCCAAATCCTCTTCAAATCCTCCAACCAAACATAACGTTGAAGACTTTCTTCAAAAGGGCTTGTTCTTTTTCTTTCTTTTTTTCATTTTTTTTGGGGTTCTATTTGTTTTGTCTTTCTTTATGCCTATTTTCCCCTTTCAAGATTTTGAACTCTATGGACTTTATTTTGCCTCCACGCCAGTTAAGACTTCTCCTCCTGGTCTCAACAAATATTTGTTTCAATTATTTTGTTTCCATAAGTTTCCACAGGAAAAGCTTCATTAAGTTGATCATCAAGGCCAACGCATTTATATTTAACAGGAAGTCAACTTCATCATAGACACAATGTGCATCATATGTATGAGTAGACTGTAGAAATTCCAAACATGCAGTAGTTGCATGCCAGCAATCATTACATTTTATAGTTGATAATATGTAGAAGGAACAAAATTAAACCATTTCTTTGCATTTGAATTGCTAAAAACTTTGAAAGAAAAATTTAAGGGTAAGAGAAAGGATTACAACGGCTAACCTCATAGAGTGCACTAGTTGGCTCCCAAGGAGAGAAGATAGCTTGAAGCACCACTCCATCAGGAAACTGAACCCGGATAATGGTTTTTTTGTATCTCTTCCTTGTAGCTTTTGCCTGCTTTTCCTTGTATGACTTGGGAATCAAAAGCTGAGATTCTGCTATCTTTTTCTTCCTCATTTCCGCTTCTCTTCTCACCTCTTCAAGTGAGAGTTTATAAAACGAGTCTGGCAGCTCAATTTTGGCTGCTACACTTTCAGAAACAGAGAAGAACACCCGTACCTGATACAAAAAAAAAATGAACGAAAAGAAGCAAGCAACAGAAGCAGCTAACAGTAAGAAAAGATGAATAACAAATGACATGACATGACAAGAACTTAAAAGGCATATAGGTTGTAAAGAGAAAGACATTAATAATGGACAAGTAATCAACTCAACTCAGTTGAACTAGGAAACACAGATATAGACATAGGACACTAATAAACATATTTTTTTATATGTATACGCAAAAATAATAACTATTTCTTAATTTTTTTACATTACAAATACATTTTTATTTTATTATATCAAAATAGTAAAAAATCCTTTCCACGCTCTACAAATTGAAAAAGAAGTGTAAACAAAAAAAAATCCTAATATCTATTTTAGAAAATTTTAGTAATAAACAAATTGAAAGTCTTGGGAGTTTAGAATTTCTAATCTTGAAATGTGTTTCAAAAGTGTCTAAGTAATGAACTCACGTCTCCCCCAAGTGTCCCAAACGTTTTCAAATCAAACAAATAAAAAATAGGAAATGGTTGGATGCATGTCGAACACATCTTTGACATGGACATGGCACCTAAGTGTCCATGCCTCTTGGCAATTGAACAATGACTTACCCACAACTCAAATTGATGAAGACCATTAAAATGTGTTGAAGACTCAAAACATAAAACCACAATGATTATACAAGGTTGTTAAATTAAAATTTTCCAAAAAAACACAATCTTGCAACATTTATTATGCAAAAGTCTAATCATAAAACAGTATACACACACATATATATATATGCTACTTTCCCATATAAAACATACAAAACATACAAATGAAAAATGATAAAAAAGAAGAATAAATTCTAGTAAAAAATATACATTGGCATATGAGGGCCCATTTTGAGTTTTTGAATAGAGGTGCTAAAAAAATAAGTTGGGAATGTCTTTGACAGAGGTTCCTTAAAAAGTGCTGAAAGAACAAATAGGCATATGTATGTCACTTTAGATTGAGGTCCAGTTTGAAAGTTGGTATAATTCAATATCAGTAGACCCCTAATAGCAAATAAGTTAAGAAGCACCATGAAAGCCACCCCTTGAAGTGCTCAAAAAAAGCTACCTTTGTGCTTAATTTTATGCAGGAACACCTAACCAAATATCATACTCAAAGATATATAGAAGCAACCCCAAGCGGGGCCTAAGTCACACTACAAAATAATTAGGAATGTGATTAAATTATTTTCAAATTCGATGTTGATAATTTACTTCTAGTGTACATTGTAGAATATTTCGATAGAGATAAGGCTGAAATCTTATTACAAATTACATGAATTATTGATTCAAACTTGTCCTACAAGATGCTAATGCAGCAACTCATATCAGAATTTGCTTTTGTATAATTAAGGATAATAAACATCAATTACATACTGGAAAACTTTCACCTTTGAATTGGTTTCTCAACTTTATGCACCTTATTGATCCAATTAAGTCAATTCTACATGGAAGGGTTACTTACACCTTGATCCTATCCCGAAGCTGGTTATCTTAACTTCATGCCATCCAATTGTACAATTTTAATCATTTCTAGATAGCAAGAATTCAGATCCAATTCTTCGTACAAAAACAGTTTGATCCCCTTTTTTAAATTGACTAGAAGAAGTTTGATAATCTGACTGCGAATTCAAAAAATTGTATCATCCTTGCTTTAAGAGATTTTGAACCCCCATAATGCTCTCATACTAGAAATCCCAAGGGGTTAGCCTTGTGGCAAGGCCTTGGATCTTGGGGGTGTGCTCCCTCCAAGGTTCAGGGATCGAAACCTCTTAGGTACTAACAATTCCTTGGGGCCATTAGACTAGAAGAAAACTCTTAAATTAACAGTGGTGCACTTGAGGGAAACTTCTTGCCGAGGGCTTGTGCACTCCTGGGAATTAATTGGGCTTTGATCCGGTCACCCCAATGCCAATAAAAAATAATAATAATAATAATAATAATAATAATAATGCACTCATGCTAGAAACTGCGTCCTTAGGCTTATAGCTTCCCACAAGTCCCAAACTTTCACCATGACACCAAAATAAAGGCCCCACAATGCTTAAAGGAAGGGAGGAAGAAAGAGAAAAAAGGCAGCTAAGAGGGAACTATGGTGTTTCAAGAGGAATGGAAAACGCAAGATCTTGCAAAATGGAAGCAAATTTGTAAGGGGAGGCAACCCTCTGACACATAAAATTAAAAAGAAGAAGAAAATGTTACCTTGTTTACTGAGGACGAGGTTTGACCCTAACAATGACCAAGTCAATTAAAATTTTAAAACATCACTTGAACAGGACCAAGCCAAAGAAGATAATGCCTATAAAATCTCAGAACTATAAAGCATGCCAATATCAAACAATTCTATTGGCAACAATAAGATGCATGATGACGAAACTGATGATCATAATCATCGTGGCCATCAGATCTGCGTATGAACTACAGGGTAAAAGAAAAAGAAAAAAAGAGTCTATCTACCACTTCTTTGGTTGCATGAGAAGATTAAGACTGTATGCCGTAAATCTCACATAGATGTCCACATTAACTACAGGTGCAAACATTTTTGGTACTGGTAGATGTGGACGCCAAGCGAACAAGATTCAACTATAATGAGGTAGGTTTAGGATTTAAGGTTGTTAAGATGCCAGAAAAAGGAGTGGGGTCTATTAATAATATAATGAGGTAGGTTTTGCAGCATTCAGCAAAACTGGTAAGTTTCAACTTTTCACTGTCAAGCATAACTTTAGTTTAACTTGATTGTCTATCAGAGTAATTTTACAAAAGTAAATCAATTCACTTTATACTTGTAAATGAGAAGATTCCATTAGAGCTCACTTACAATTATAAAAACTAAACTCTTATGTGATATTCAATTAGAATAAATCAGCCAAGATGGCTAGGTTACTCTTGTTCTTATGGTACATTTTGCCACATCAAACTTAAGTAAACACAGACACTTCTAAAGAGCAATTGTGTCATGCTAGACACTGACACTTTACAAACATTCCCGAATATGTTTCAGCACTTCTTGAAAGTGTCCCAATTTTAAAATGTTTTTTCATAAATTTGGACACTTCAATGAGACTTCTCAAGCACTTTAAAGACATCTTATATACACTCCTCATTCACCAACAAGACTACATAATATTTATGCGGACACCGATTGGGCTGCAATATTTGTTTTAATGTTATGATTATTATCTGGTGGTTTGTGTAATTTATTTATGTATTTTGGTCCAATAATTTGTATACTTGTGCAAAAATTGGAGAGATTTCTACAGGGAGATTTCAATTGGACAGACTTACCTACCACCACTCCCATTTCCCTCTTACCATACTCCCAACCTCATACTCTTGTGGTACTCTCCCTTTTGACTATGTATATCAGATATACATATCCTCCCTCTCTCTAACATTTCTCTCCCTCTTCTCCTCTCTTGTGCTCACCTCACGCCATTGTTGGAGGCTTGCCTTTAAAACACCCTTGGAGCACTCTTTGAAAGACACTCTTGGAGACATGAACCTTGAGGAAGCTTGAACACCATCTCACATCTCACACCATTTTCTTCTCTGTAAAGCTCAGAGAGGTAGGGTTTCCTCTACTCTATTTGTATAGATGAAATGGTAGGATTAGCTTCCTTAATCCATGTAATAAATGCTTATTTATGTTTCTTTGGCCTTAAATGTGGATTGAAAACATGTTAGGTTGCTAGATCTGAGAAAATTTGAACCAGAAATGAATGTTCATAATAAATGCCGAGGCGGTTGACCAGCCTGTAACCCAGAATTGCGAAATGAGAGTAAACAAGAGAAATAGTAGGTCAATTGTGCGGTTGATATAGTGGACGACCGGCAGGGTGAATGGTTTTGCTTGTCTCGGACAATTTTCGTGGACTACTTTTATTGGCTTTTTGGGTTGATTTTCCTCTCTTTTTGTTGGGTTGGATTCTTTTGAGGAATACTTGGAGCTTTTTGAGTTTATTTGTTTTCAATAAATTTACATATATTTTGCTATTTTTAAATCCTATATGTTTAACAGTATGTTTCAGTGGTTGAATATAAATTGGGAAAAATTATGCATTATGGTTGGAATCTTGAGTGTTGTTGTCCTGACCTATACTTATCCCGTAACTATGTAATGTTAGCCTTATGGCATCTATTGATTGGAAATTGGCTGTGTGGATTAATAATGAGTAATTGATATGGATTTCGAAAATGAAAATGTAATGTGGACTTGATAGTGATTTTGGTTTAAAATATTAATAAAGACCAAGTTCGGAAGGTAACAGTTGGACTTCCACTTGGGTCATTGCTTTTGGACTTCAGGTCCGGTATTCAATTTTACTTGATTTTGGTTGCTTATGCCAATAGGCGCTATTTCCGTTCGGCAAGCTTGCATGGATGGTATGGTTGTCCCTCAGTTAGAGCCAAGGAAGCACGGGTGCGGGTGCGGGTACGAGTGCGGGTACACCGATTCGGCAAAACTCAAAAAAAGTACGATACAGGTACGGCTGCGGTATGTCGATATTTTTTTTTTGAAATATAATTATGATTAAAGGATCCAAACTACAAATTAAAATTAAATATCAAAACTAAAAAAAGAACTACTCATTTTCCTATAATTTAAAACCATTAAACGTTAAAAATAATATTTGTAAAATCTCTCACTTTGACATGTTATGCACTGTGAATTTGTGATCATAATTTATTTTTAAAATCTTTCTTTTTGCTCATCAATTTGCTATTTTTATAGGATGAGACCAAAGAAATAACAGGAGACCAAAGAAAGATTTAAAGTTAATTGCCAACAGTAAAGGAAAAAAAATTCTCAATTGGGGCACGTTGTCAATTGCAATTTGCATAATACATAAAATTGTATCATTCCCAACCACTACTAATCAACTAATACAGTATCAATTTTTAATATTTTGTGCATAAACTTTAAAATTTTGTTATGATTAAAGATTTTATAAAGAAATTCTAGGAGGATTTGAAGCAAAAGCATAATGCATAGTCATATACAGAACTACCCTTTATAGGCCTTGCTATTTTTTTTTGGTTCAAATTGCTTTTTAAAACCATCAAAATCATTTGCTGATATGCTTATACAATTTACACAGACAGATAGGACATCAAAGCAACATCAAAATTACTGATCTGCAAGGGCACCAAAAAAAATAAAATAAAATAAAAATAATTGCTGATCTGCAAGGGCAGAAAAAAAAAAAAAAAAAAAAAAAAAAAAAAAATTTGGCCCTGGCGTACCCATAGCGTATCCGTGGCGTACCCATGCCGTACCCGAATGAACCAAACGTACTGGACCTTCTTTTGTCGTACCCGGTACGCGTACCCGCACAGGGATGGAGACTAATAACCTCCAGAGTTTAGGTTGGCTTGGATTGTCATGGAGGAGGAAATGGGATGGATATAAGATTGGACCATATGTATATATATATCAATTTCCTTTCGGTTATGAGTTAATTTTCGTTATGGTTATTGTTGCATCGTTTTGAATACTATTGGTTTATATTGGTCTTATTATTACTTAATTCGAAACAGAGTGAGTTAATTAAGTAACACTTGTTTATGAAATGGAATAAAAGGTGAAGGACTATAAAATAACCGATTCGGCATACTCCACATGGCATATATACATTTAGGATTCGTTTGGGAAGTGACTTGTTAATTTTCGTTATGGTTATTGTTGCATTGTTTTGAATACTATTGGTTTATATTGGTCTTATTAGAAAAATGCTTGGGAGTACTAATTAGTGCTCCCACTAATTAGGTGGCAGTGGGTCCCGTCATTAATGATGTGATGTTTTGGTCTTGGAGTTGTGTTGTTTTTTTTTTTTTAATGCATTAGTGCTATTAGTGGTGATATTTTTAGTGGGATGAATCATTGTTGGTCTTATTATTACTTAATTCGAAACAGAGTGAGTTAATTAAGTAACACTTGTTTATGAAATGGAATAAAAGGTGAAGGACTATAAAATAACCGATTCGGCATACTCCACATGGCATATATACATTTAGGATTCGTTTGGGAAGTGACTTTTTGGCTAAAATATGATGTGAAAAAAACAGAAGTGTTTGGAAATGGCATTTTGGCTTTTTACGAAAAAACGTGCAAAAAGTAGAGATAATGGAAAGGAATCTATAACTTTTTTGTATCGCTTTTTGACTACATTAGCCTCTTCCTAAACACCCCCTTAGTGGTAGAGATTATGGTGAGCTTCTTCTTGTTGCTCACCCCTACATTACAGCTATTGAGGCAAGGCCCCAACTTTGGAGTATATGCCACACCATTTTTTTGTGATCATGATTAGTTGTTAACCATAAGATGAGTGGGACTATGACCTTTTTTCTTTTCAATTGTAGTTCTTTAATTAGCCTCTGATCTGTAATCTCAACAGCAATGTATTGGATTTTGTATTTCATTTCAATACTTAATTTCTGCATGTCATTCATGTTTGGGACGTGGAATGACCTTGTGAGGGTGTGCCATGGCAAGAGAGAACTAGCATGTTAATTGAGTAAAAATTGGATATAAATGATCAAACTTCTTTTGAACATCAAACTACACTTGTTTGGAACAAACATAACTTTGGACTCCTTTGGAGTATTTTGTGAAAACAAATGGACTTGTTTTAAGAATGTTTAAAGGCATAAAAGTGGAAGCCTAATTAATCTCTTAAAAACCGGTGCATGACGATATGCATGATATTTGTGTGGTTTCATCTTTCACATTTGCAATTTTAAGTATAAATATTCAGACAATAAATTAAATAAGGTGTTTTCAAACATAAATCTAAAAGATATATAAAAATCCTAACATATGCTGATATTCATATGCTAGTTTTAGGCATTTACTGTGTCACCATGTCTTTGTTGTGTCGTGTCTATATCCCATGTCTATGTCTATGCTACATCAACAAACATGAGGACATGTATCAATTTAGTATACAAAAGCAGTTAGCTGCCTATTACTTCTTTTTATTTAACATTTGTGCCACAAACCAACACCTTCAGTAAAGATCCTAGTTACATTATAATTCTTATTTTGATTCTTCTTTTCTTTAATTCATTGCTTTTTCCATGGGTTACATAAACATTAACAAACAACTACATTTACTTAACTGGTTGAATGTGGATTTTCAGATGACTTTGTCAAATTGTATTAATCCAATTTATTCATTTGAAATCCATTGACTGGAGGCTGTAGCCAAGATCAACCTTTAATCAAGGATGTTAATAGGGTGGACTAGGAGCAAAGCTAACCTTTTGGCATTATTTGCATAAAGCTGCTTACTAATTCATTCTCACATTTGGCAACCTCGACTCTTTCCTGCCTCTCTCTCTTTCTCTCTCTCTCTCTCTCTCTAACACACACACACACACACACACACACATTTCTTTTGACAGCAACCCAATAGCAAATATACGAAGCAGACGCAATGTGACCAGAATAATAGCACAAAAAAATAAGGATAGTAGGTACAAATACATTAACATACATAAAATACTTTGCAGATGAAAAACAACCGCACATTTTTACCTGTCTGTCAACCTTCTTCGGCTCAACTGGTTCATCTATCTTAGATGGAGCTGCAGAAGGCAATTCTTCAACCTTCTGAGTTTCCAATAATGATATCGCCTTCTTAATTAAAAGCATTCCTTCTTCCGAAGGAATTTCCATCGCCGCCCACATCTCCCCGTCTTCATCTACAAGTCCAAATCCAACACACTCCAACAACTCCACACATCCTGTAACATCACCAATGGCCTCCCTTATCTTTGGATTCCCCATCCGAATCCTTCGGAACTTAGCATTTTCTGGCTCCTTCACTATATTCCTCAACAACTTAAGAACAATTTCGACTGACCCATCGAAAGGCTTCCCAGAAACATATGCACCAACACAAGCTTCCAATTCATTTCTACCCTCAGATACACTATCATTTTCAGACGATTCTGAACCAAAAGCCACATTATTGGCTTGTGTACTATTGAGACAACTATCAACATGATGAGAGACCTCTTCTTGAGACCCATAAGCACGGCCACAAACCGGGCATTCAAACACATTCAGAGAATACCCATTTGCACTTCTTTTCCCAGAAGTGATCAAAGGGTCATACGGATCAAACCCAGTAGATGGTTTGCAATTGGAGTCGGAATTACTACGAATTCCAGACCTATTCGTCACATGTTGATCCGAATTCAAGGGTTTCTGAGGCGAAGGCTTAGAATTCGCTGAAGCACTTGAGGGTGGTTGACTGGTCTTAGAATCAACAGTCTGTGATGGCCGACCCAGAATCGGATTGGGATTGGGATTGTCCGAAGAAGACGAACCCAAGACCCTGCCTTGACCCTTGAATTTGGCAGAGGAAGAGGATGAGAATGGATTGTTCACTTTCTTCATGAACCCTTTAACCTTATCCTTCATATCATCCATTGATAAGCAGATTCAAGAAGAAAAAAAAAATTCAAGAGCTCAATTAAACGCTTAATCGATGAGATTTTTTGAGATTAGTCGGGGAATGAATAGGTTTTTTTTTATACTAGGTTTTAATATAGGAAAGCTAATCTGTGCTAAGAGAAAGGAATTGAAGAAGAAGGGGCTGAAAAACCAAGAGAATGGAATTGAAGGGCTGAAAAGCCAAGAAAACAAGTATCGACTTTTACAGCGAGACGGACCTCGGAAGTTCAGAAAAACCGCGTTTGAGTTTTCTTCGTTGTTTTTTCGGTTGATTGGGACTTGTTTGACTTTTCGGAATTGAGTATTATTATGGTACCTCTAGAGTTTGTTTCTTAAGGTGATTCCTGAAGTGGGTGGTCCAAGATTTAAAATGAAATTAATTAAAATGACGTTGTTTTAGTTAGTAATTTAAAAAAAAAAATGCTTTAATTCAAAATTTCTTCCGTAGATCTCATAGAGAGAGAGAGAGTTCTCTCTCAGTTGCCTCATAATCTCCAACCCCAGCAACATCTCCAACTCCACGACCCCTCCCCTCCTCTCCCAACCCCTCTTTATCCCCCTAACTTGTTCCTGCAATACCATCAACACCACCACAAGTTTTTTCTATGCAAATCTCACTTACACAATCAAGAAAGGTGACACTTTCTACTTTGTCTCCACAAACAATTTTCAAAACCTCACAACCTACCAATTTGTCCAAATTGTCAACCCATATCTAATCCCAACCAACCATACAATCAGTGTCACCGTAATTTTTCCCATGTTTTGCAAGTGTCCAAACACAACCCAATTGCAGAACAAAGCCAATTTTCTCTCAGTTATGTTTTCTAGCCCTCTGATAACCTCACTTTCATTGCTTCAATGTTTGGCTCAACAACACAGTCAATAATTGATGTCAATGGTAATCATCATATTCAACCCTTTGAAACTATCTTTGTACCTGTTTCAAAACTTCCTAATTTGACACAACCTAGTGGTGTTTTTGTTAATTCAACCTCTAGGGAGAATGGAAAAAAAAGGGTTGTGGTTGTGGTTGGATTGGGAATTGGGTTGGGGGTTTGTAGGATTTTGCTGGTTTTGGTTTGTGGGATGTTTGGTTACAGAGAAAATACATGGAAGAAGAGGAAAGGGATGGTGTAATCTCCTGGAGAGGTTGTGGGTTGTTTGATGTCAATTTATTTATTTATTTATTTTTATTATTTGAAATTACTAACCAAAACGCCGTCGTTTTGGTTAGTTTCGTTTTGAACCATTGGATCACCCCACTTCAGGGATTACTTTAGGAAACAAACTCCAGAGGATCTGATACATTATTATGACTGAGTGCTGTTTCGACGAGTTAGTACAATGTTGGTTTTTTGGCTTTTTTTTTTAGTCTATTTTGTTTTTTTTTTAGTATAAAATGTGAGATATGATGTGATCTAAAATGGATGTAAAATTAAAAGTTGACTTTTTTTTTTTGCTTTCCAAAAGACCCCCCAATCACTAACTTTTTTACGAAATTTTACGACACATGCCATTTATTTTCACAGGAGAAATTTTACGACACACACCATTTGCTATAAGATAATACTCGTAACTTAAAAAAAAATTGATTCGAAGTAGTTTGAATATCCAAAACGACATCATTTGGCCTTTTTTTTTTCTTTTTTTTTTTCTTTTCCTTCCCTCTCTAAAGTAGACAAAAGAAAGAGAGAAGGGCGAGAGAGAGAGGAGAAGAAGAAAAGATGGAGAGGAGGAAGAGAAGAAGGTGAAGGAAAATGAGAAAAAAGATGGAAAGAAGGAGGTGGAAGAAGAGAAAGAGAATACACACAGATCTGTGTACACACAGAAGAGACAATGATAGCGGCACAGGTGGGTGACTCTCTCTCTCTCATATATATATATATAGATATGTATGTGTATAGATCTATGTATACACACAGATCTAGTGTTGATAATGATGTGTCTACTACTATAAAAATAGTTAAAGATCACATTTTGATAAATGAAAATATTTTACTTTTATTGAAAGTGTAATAAAAAAAAATAGATTTATATTTTAATCACACTTGATTTAATTGAGTGTGATAATATTTATTTTTTATATCATTTTTTAATTAAGTGTGATTATATATACATTATTACAATAATACTTAATAATATTTATTTTTAATCACACTTTTTAAATAAGTGTAATTATATATATACATATATATATATATATACATATATATATATATATATATGTTTTAATCACACTCCCTAAATTAGTGTGATTGTATAATATATTTCAATTTGATTTTTATATAGAATACTATTCCCAAATTCGCACCTATTCGACTCTTTCCATTCCCAGATTGGCCTCGTTTGGCAAGTGATAGTTTTAGTCAAAAAGTCAAAAAGCCGAAAAGTCACTAAAAAAATCAAAAAACCAACAATTTATACCAAAAAGTTAAAGATTCCATTTTCTCCCTACTTTTTGCACATCTTTTCATAAAAAATCAAAAAGTCATCCCAAACATACTAATTTTTTCTACATCATATTTTAGACAAAAAGCTAAAAAGTTACTTAAAAAAAAGTCTGTTCCCAAACGAGGCCAGAATTTCACAAACAGCACAGGCCTTTTGTAATAACCCCTATCCGTAATTAGCCACTAATCCGTATTTAATGATGTTAATGAGAGGATTAAAATGAATTATGTGTTTATTCTGCAATTTGTATGATTTTGACTTTCTATCTGTTACTTATAGAAATATCTGTTTGGAATTCCACTCTAATATGTAAATCGAAAGCTTTATCGGCATCCGAAATCGAAATTGACTACACCGATATGTTATTTGGAATTTTTAGAACCATATGACAAATTTTATTAAAAATTGATTCAGTCTGATTCATTAAGTCATGTTTGGTTAGCCTAATATTCTAATTAATGTGTTTTAGCACCATAAACATATATATGAGAGATAAGCTCATTTTGAGCTCATTTTCTTTGCTCCTCTTAGTGCAAAAATCTGAGGTTTTCTTTTAGAGAGAGAGTATGTACAATTCTAGAAAGAGAGATGGAGGAATTGAAGGAGAATTGAAGACCTTGGCTTAGATTCTTCAAAACTAAGCTAGAGCTAGATTAATTCAAGACTATAGGTATGAATTCCACTCCTAAATTATGAATCCAAGTTATCAACATGAAGATTATGTGTTTAAGGGTGTGCATTGAGCTTAGAAGGAAGATTTGATGCATGCATGTACATTTTCTCACAAATTGAGCATAAACTCTAAGAATTCTCTCTTGCATGTTTGAAATTCATCTTCATTTAGGGAAGTCATCAAGTTTCAAGTTATTTTGTGGTGTTTGATCATGTTTTGAGAAGTTTGATACAAGAAAAATTCATGCATGTGTATTCATGAACATTTATCATGTTTTAAGTAGAAATTATGAGTTTTAACAAACTCTTGGGCCATGATTTTATGAAATAATTCTTAATTCATCATGTTTTACAAGTTTACTATGTTATATCAAGTTTTGGGGCCCAAGAAATGTGTTTTGAAGGTTGGAATTCGAGTTTGGAGCTTGAAGGTGCAATTTGGAAATTCCAAAATTTGCATCCACGCTCGAGCGTGGGAGTTCACGCTCGAGTGACCAATTTGAGTGCGTGCACTCCACTCGAGCGACCAAAAAGTCCGCTCGAGCGTGAATTGCAAGCTCCCAGAAGTTTCATGTCTTTTACAGATCGCTCAAGCGAAGGAATGTGCGCTCGAGCGACCATTCACATTTTGCATGTCTACTCGAGCGAGGGAAGCTACGCTCGAGCGTGGACCTTATTTTCAAAAATTTTGCCTAAGTATTTCAAAGCATGTTTTGGCATCCTCATTGCATCTTAGGCATTCCTAAGCCTTAATTAAGCCATAGTAATGAGGTTATGGATTAGAAACACACTAAGAAAAGAATGTACCAAGTTCCGAGACTGCAAGTGTGTGTGTTTTAGGCAATATGATAAGAAAGAATATGAGCTATTGTAATGAAAGCTAAGCCGTGTTGGCCACATGAATGTGTAATGATTAGATGTGCTTGTGTTATGTATTTTGTGATTGTAGGTCAAGACTAGAGGACTGATTGACCATTGCTGGAACCACTGTGAGTAACGTTATTGTAAAGATACGTTCATATGAATTACGTTCCAAATGAAATATGATAAGTTCTGCTTTCTGAAATGATATCTGTTTTCGTGAACGAATATTCCAAGTTTGAAATCTATTATGGCATCCATAGTTAGTCCCAACTCATGGGGGACGGCATGAAAATGCGGGTCCATGACATACAAGTAATTACGAGATCTCGTTAGCCACTTCATTGTGGTGATATGTGTTTAATCGGTATCCAGAACCGATTACTCTAGTCGGAAGACATTCTGTGATGTGTTCTATAGGATGTACCATTATTATGTTCTGATATGAGAATGATTATGCTCTAGTCTGTTTTCTGCTTATGACATATTCGGATTTCATTCACTAACCCCTTTACCTTAATGTTATTCATTGGGCGTTAGCTCATTGTGTGTATATATATATATATATATGTATAGGTGAGCATTCTGGAGCCCGAACTTGAAGGCTTTTGTCTGGATCTGTGTTCTGTTGTCAGCCAACCATTGTGCCTCACGTGGAGGTTCCCGAAGCGTCCTGTGTTTAAGTTTTGTGGTTTCTGTTTATTTAAGACTTAATTTGATGTCGTCGGCTGTACTTAAAAGACTGTAATGTGTGTGTGTATAATGTATAGTTGACTACCGGTTATTGTATATAAAGTTTTTTTTAAATATTCTGTTTCATATAAGTCAACACAGCTCATTGGACAACTATATTTATGTATTTGCTTCCGCTAGCCCCTTAATCTTGTTAATCTGTTCAGAGCCCTTCGGTAGTCCAAGGATTACTGGCCGGTTACGATGCTAAACCTATAGGGGTGGGTTTGGGTTGTGACACCTTTTCCTCGCCTCATGTTTCTTAAACAAAGAGTGTCTTCTCCTTTCCTTCTGTTTCTGAAACGAAGCCCTATTTCGTTTTCTTCATCACAGCTCTGAACCACCATTGAAGTTACTCATTCAAATTTGTCTTTTGAAATTAAAAACCTCTTGAAATTTTTGGTGAGTTCTTTGTTTTTTATGCCCCTTTTGTGTGTATATATTTATGATTATGATTATTATTAGTGGAATTTTATAGATGTAGGTTTTCAGTGTGAATGAGGGTCTTCAGGTGGTAATGATACGTGTTCTGTAAATAAAAGTTGAAATTGGTAAGTTTTTGTTGATGGTTGGTGG